GACACAATTGGCCTGAACTTGCCGGTGGACTCCAAATCCCAAGTGCGGGTTAAATTTAGGCACTGAGGCTTCTTTCACACCCATCCATCCCATGATCTCCACCGGCCGAGCAGCTGCACACAGATGGCCTTGTCTGACTGCTTCAGGGGAGCGGAGGGCAGGTGACATCAACAGCTAGACCAGGGAGGAGAACCCAGACACGCGGGGTGGTTCGAGGTCTTATCAGGGTCGGATGAGTCATGAGAATGGCAGGCGATTGTGCGACGAGCGGCCGATGACACAGAGAGCAGTCAGAGAGCATCAGTTTGGCTGAGCAGACACGGAAAGCATGTGAGACAGAGTATCTTGCTCTATTGCAGGACAACTGCTGCATCAGACACACTGACAAATGTACTAAACGGCCTAAAGGCCTGGTCACACCAAGGATATTAACTATAACAATATAGATAAAGTTTTAAAAATCATTCTGAATTTAATAGGATAGCAGAGTCAACACCACAGTTATAATGATAATGGCACAGAGGAATATTAAAGTGGTGCTATTATGCTTTTTCACTTTTTCAACTTTAGTTTGTCTGTAATGTTGCTGTTTGAGCATAAAAAAGATCTGCAAAGTTACAAAGCTCAAAGTCCACTTCAAAAGGAGATATTTTATTTAACAGAAATCACTTTTCAAAAACTACAACGAACGACTCGTTTGGACTACAACGCATATTTTCCGGGATTTGTGATATCACAAATATCGATGAATGGGATAAGACCTGGTTGAGCTGCACTAGAGAAGGCAATGAGTGTTATCACTATGTCGGAGACACGCTAGCTTTCCCAAGGCAGACGAACTTAGAGTGCTTACAATCACCCAGGTTTAAATCGCGCTCAAATTGATTTGATTTTGACGCAATATTTACACTGAAGCTCGCTTACCTATGGTAAGGGGCATGACATTTCCCGAGCAGGCGCCGAGTGCTGCCAATCACAACACACACTGGCCCAGCTAACCAATCACAGCACACACTGGCCCAGCTAACCAATCACAGCACATTTCGTATTTCAGAAGGCGGGCCTTCATTTGATACAGGAACTATTCGAGCCGTACATGCCAGACTGAGGAGAGAGGTGTTGTAATAATGTAAAATTAAAACACCCCCAAAACAAAATCAAGATTTTGTAAAAGAGCATAATAGGACCCCTTTAACATTAGAATCACTTTCAGAACTATTTTTTCCAGCTGATGAATGATAAAAGAATTGACAGCCAATCAGAGCTTTTAAAGCGGCACACGACAAAACTGATCAACCAAATCGTTTGAGTAAATGTTTCACTCATAAGGATCCTCTTTTTTGTTGAATGAATCATTTGAACGATTCAATGATTCTCTCATAGACCATACTTGTTTGCTCCTTAAATGAATGAGTGTTTTTTTCCCGAATCCCTTGAGTAATTATTCGCTCACAAAGACCTATTTGTCTTGTTTCTTGAATGAATCAGTGCTTTTGAATGAATCGGTTGAGTGAACATTCAATAATTCTCTTAAATTCCTGAATCAATCTGCGTTGTTGAATGAATCGTTTGACTGGATGATTCAGTGACTCCCTCATAAAGCAGCTTTTCACCATCTCCTGGCGCATCAATGTAACTTACAGAAAATGTAATTGAAGGAAATGAAACTAAGAAACAATTTTCACTCAAAAAGTGTACATTTAACAAATAATTACAAGGGAACAGCAAGTAGCACTTTAAATAAATGTGAAATTTTGAAGACTGCAATAGTATTTTCTTATGAAATGTACTCCACTAATCTTTTTTTTCTTATTTTTTTTTTTACTGTATGCATGCAGTAAATTTGCAAAGTGTTATCTGTACCTCAGCTGCTTGATTGCTTGTATCATCACAAAATGTAAACTATATCATTTCCCAGCATTAATCTGCTAAATGCAACAATAAGGCATGGAAATATTAAGATATTGTGAACATTAACATCATGATTTTCTGTAAAACAGCTTTAAAACAATGTGTATTGTGAAAATCACTATACATATAAATTAGCCTGGTAGATGAAGAAATGGGGAAGAAATCGGATATAGGCTACTTATGTCTGAGTGACGACATAAAGTCCACCCACTTCGACAGGAAGATACTGTCTGGCCAAAATGTAAAGCAACCAGCCACAAGTTCTTTTTATTTGAATTTTTGGTGCGGATAAATCGGAAATGGTACAATATTGGACTGGCAAGAAAAAAAAAATGGCAAGGCTGTCTTCGTTAATGTTTGTACACAATTCAGATATTTAGAGAATATACAGAATGCAGTTCTGTTCGTGTATGTTTAGTTTGCTTCAAGTGCCTCGAAAACAATCTCTTTCAAAGATTTGAAAGCCATGAACCCAAGCACCCTAGCATTATGGCAGTTCAGACACAGTTTGTTCAGAAATTGTAAAAATCAGCAGTGCCTGCATGGCTCAGATTTTGCTCTGCATTTCTAGATCATCCTGAAATTGAGTGACATGCCTGGCTGTCTGCTCGAGACAGATAGATAGTTGTCTGTCCTCACGAGTGTGTTTGAGTTTGTTTGGGCGTTGTGAAGAGACTGGCGTCTCAAACATGGTGTCTCATTTCCCCTGCTGGTGATCAAATCTGCGATTAACGCCACAGACGAGACAGCGGCCGGTGAACTGCCTGATACAAGCTCGCAGAAATCCTGCCCGCTGTAATTACTCTGAAGTGAATGTTTTATTGAAGATGTTATGTCATCGGGTGCGGTGTCAGGTCACGCATCATGAGACCCGTAAAACACCATCACGACATCCCTGACCTCTTTTATTCACAGCAGCCTGCCAAACAACTGCCTCGTATGTTCCCTTCCTCGGGATCTTTTAAGTGCACCTGACTAGCAAAGCTCTTTTGTTATTAAATTGAAGGGAGAAATTATGATGGCAAATAACATTTTTGTCTTTATTTAAGCTTACATTTAATCTTTTCAGTGGTGTTGATCTATTCCTTAAAGAAACAGTTCACGCAGAAACGTAAATTGTCATCATCTAATCACCCTCATAATGTTCCAATCTCATGCGATTTCAAAAAAGGAGATGTTTTGCAGAATGTCTGAGCTGCTTTTTTCCCACACAATGACATAGGCTTTCAAAAAGAAAAAGAAAAGCAACATTAAAGTACCATGATTTACAGCTAATAATGACATAAATTTGAGCCGGTTCCAGTTTTATTATTAACTGAAATTAAGACTATTAAAACTCATTTTCATTAATTGAAAGCTGAAATAAGAAAAAAAAGTTAAAACAATAAAATAAACAGGATATCACCACCTCCGTGCTTTACTGTAGGAATGGTGCTATTTGGATGGTGAGCTGTATTGGATTTTGTGCGTTTGGTGCTGAGGCCAAATAATTAAATTTTAGTTTTGTCAAAGCTCAGTCGTGACTGCATGTGGCCTTTATTTTTTCTTGCAACCCTCCCAAACAAGCCACATTTGTGGATAATTTGTGATATTGTTGGCACATGCATACAGTGATAAATGATCTTTGTCATAAATTCCTGCAGCTGCTTCAGAGTTGCTGTCGGCCTCTTGGTGGCCTCTCTGACCAGTTTCCTCCGGCTCTTTCATCCAGGTTGGAGCGACGTCCTGATCCAGAGATTTTTACCAAATACCTTCCACTTCTTAATAATAGACTTCACTGTGCTTCTAGGCATTGATAAAGACTTTGCAATTGTTTTGTATCCATCTCCTGACTTGTGCCTGTCCACAACTTTATCCCGGAGATCTTCTGACAGTGCCTTGCCACCCATAATTGATTGTTTGCTTCAGTTGCATTAGCAAGGACTGAAATCCAGGAAAGCTCTTTTCATGCTGAGCTGATCAAAATGACCACAGCTGATCACAGTTGAAACTCAAATGGCTTTGTGTGCCACTGAAAAGGTGATTAGCTAAACCTGATTGAGTTTACAAGTCATTTTTAGGAGGGGGGTGACCCTTTTTCCAACTCTGTGTTTCTGTTTTTTAATTTTGTAATTTTTTTCTGACATGTTGGTGTTTTATCTTTCACTTGGATGTTATAAGTTGCACTGAGTGAATAGAGCTGGATAAAACAATCTTCATTTCAGGCTGCAAAGCACCAAAATGTAATTATTTTAAAGAGGTATATGTATATACAGTATATACACAAAAAAATTAATAAAAATGGCAATGGTATTTACAAAAATGACTAAAACTTAAACTAAAATGAAAATTAAAACTGAAAATATATATTAAAAAAATGCTAATTCATATTGTTAAATACTATAATAGTATAATACTATAATTACTAAAATAATGCAGGTTCATCACATAAAGCGTGTAATATAGTGCACACATTGTGCTTTCATTAACAATGTGTGTTTGATTCTGCATCGCATCTTACAGAGCCAGACTTCTTACTTCCGGCATAAAGTCTGGTCCATGCTGCTGTTTATTTAACCAAAGAACCGCCCATTTAGACATGAAGACACTGTCTGACTGACATGTGGCGCAGCCAACCGCAGTTTGTTTACAAGATGTTTTGGAAACACTAATCTATAATAGATGATACCACATCAGCAAGCTGATGAACTGATTAAAAACCTGTGCACTCTGAATAACATAAATTGTTTGGAAGCCAGCCAATCAGATTGGAGCTTGCGGTTTTAGCCTGCTGTTGCCATTTCTGTGTGCAATATCCCTCAGACAGCCTGTGAACGGTCCATGGGCGTACCGTCTGAGGTTTAGACTAGTCTTAGAGTAACTAGGTAGAAATGTTTCTCATGCTCTATAAAGTTTTGAAAAAAAACCCCCACTCCACCCAAAGCCAAGTTGTAATTGTGCATGTGGTGCATTGCATCAACCTGCACATGCTTAATTATTCAGTCTGTCTGGTATGTGATGCCTTCAGTTGTATAATAGTGCTGCATTGTGTCATAACAATCCTAACCATCCACCCTTAAAGACGCATTCCTCTCTTTGTCTTACTGCAGAGTGCAAGTTCCACTGCACCAATGGCAGATGTCTGAAACTTCTCTCGCTGATTTGCAATCATCTGAATGAATGTGGAGACAACAGTGATGAGGAACACTGTCCTGCTGCTGTACCTCCACCTCCAGACACCATCCAGTGTAAGTCCATCCGCCCACCTCTGTCTCAACGCCACATCTGCATCTCTGACAGGTGATATTGCATCAGTGCTACTGTAGAAAACCACTCGGCTACTGTCAAACTACCCTTCAGAAAAAGTATAACCAAAAGTAGCTGCATGCATTGAAGCGAATTAGGTGATTTAGTGTCTTTAAATTAAATATTTATTAGATTATGTGGTTAAAAAGAGCACTGTTTATGTGAAGGAGCAAATAAAATCTACCCAAATTTATACAGCTGAATGAAAACATTTCTTTCTTTGAACCAGTATATTAAGATGATAGGAAGTTAACGGGGGCTTGTGTCAAAAATGCCACCAAAATGAACAATAATGGCCCACAAATTCAAGATAAAGAGGCAAAAACTGATCCTGCATAATTAAACAAAATGTATTATGGCTGTCGCTTTTAAAATGAAATGTGAAAAGTGTAAATTCATGGAATTACGTTTAGATCTGTGCACATTGCATCAGATTGCTTTTTTCCTGTTGTTTTTAGCATAATTAAGCCTTATAACCAATCATATACATTTCAGTTGAGCTTATGAATGCAGTTGCCAATCAGAGGCGTTTAGATTAGTCAGCGCTGAAAACTCGCAGTCTTGAGAAAAAGTCAGACGTGCAAGATTTAAACTCGCAATTGTGTGTTATAAAATCCGAATTCTGAGATCTAAACATACAATTGTAAGAGAACTGTCTCTTTTTGTTCCTGCAGAATTGGACTTTATAACTCGCAGTTGCCAGTTTATATCTCACAATTCAGAATTGCCAGATTAAAAAAAAAAAAAATCGTTTTATTTTTGATTTAGTGGCGGAATTGGGCTTCCATATTTCGCTAATCACTCAATCAGTAATAACTTCAGTGATTATTATTTTATATTTTTTGCATAACTTGTGCTAGACTACACTAGCGTCATGGACCAACATGTTTGTCTGTATTGCCAGAATATGACGTGCTGTTTCTTCAAACACAAAAACATTTTATATGTATTTTGTTAATCGACATCAATAGTCATTATTACATTATCAAGAGTAACTTTGACAAAAATGTTTTTTTGTCATTGTATTGCAGCCCTACTAGTTCCTATTTTTTAAATATATCATTTATATGGCATTTTAAACAGTTTGTTGTTATTGATAACATTTTAAAGTATTCTGATTGATTGAAATAATTGGTTAAATTGAAGTATTTGACATTAAAGACAACAAACACACAATTAATAAGGCAATTATAAAAATTGCCCTCGGACGAATGTAAAAGATGCCTGGAAATCAATTCCAGGGTCAAATATTGCTCCTTAATGGAAAAGTTTATTTCTGACCCAGGTCCAAACGAACCAACTCACTAAAATGAATCCGACTCAGTGCTGGAGAGCGGCAGTGTGTTTGATTAGTGTCAGAATCAGTTGCAAGGCTGGCTGTGCATTATCATTGTGACATGAAAACAGCAATATAACACTTACCTGTTGGAAAAAATGGCTTGTTACTGGAAAAGCTGCACTACCTTGAAAACAGCTGAACTGCTGTTACTCTACTGCAGATCTCTTTGCTCTGTGTTCTCTGCCGTTGTCTTTGCTGATCCATCCTGTTTTATTGATACCTCGTACAGCATTATGCCACAAGATGCCATGTGGTGCAGTTATCTTACCACAGTTATGCTAGAAACATACCGAGCACAAGTGTGAGAACGACTCTTCTGCTGAGGAATACAGTTCATTAGCATAACTGTAGATGGTACTGCAGATATGTTGACTTGGCGCATTAAAACAGAATTTCAGTCGATAATGAAAGTGGCTTATCCAGTCAGATTTGAGAGATGGAAGTATCCATTAGGGCTCCAACATATCAACTCTTTTTGATAATTGACTAATCTGTCAAGTTTTATTCTGGTTTAATCAAACATTACTCCACAGTTTGCTTAGTGCTCTCTATCAAGCAATGTACAAATTGAAGTATGTAATGTACACTACACATTGTGTGCAAATTGTTTTAAAATATAAGCTAAAGGTTGCAATACTAGCAGCAGAGCATTTTAAATAACCAAAGTTACCAAACCACAACCGAAGTTTTAGCAGATCAGAGGTTAAAATGTGCTAGAACTGACACATTCCCTCCTCTGAACATATCAACATTCAAGAGGCTATTTTTTCTGTGATTTAAATTAAGTTAATATTCATATAAAATAGTGATACTTGGGTTGCATAAAGGATCTTTAAACTTAAATATGATGTTTAACCACAAATATCGTTTGATTAATATTATTGCACTCCATTTTAAGAAAATAACAGTAAAATGTTCACTGCTATTAAAAAGTTTGAGGTCGGTAAGGTTTAAAAAAAAATATTGTGGAATAATATTTACAATTTAAAACAAAATGCAATTTATTCCTGTGATTCAAAGCTGAATTTTCAGCATCATTACTC